ATATATTCATTTATTCTAAAAAAATTATTAACATAAATAAATAAATGTAAACGATTTTTTAAATCGTTCGGAAACCCATGATCACCCTCTGTAGATTGAATATATCTGTAAACCAATTTTTTTATTTAATAAAATGTTTTATTATTCAGGAAAAACAAGATGCTGAATCTCCAAAGGGTGTGTACGGAGGAAGAACTGAAGATGTGGACAACAGTTCCGTTATTTTTTGGCATTTTTACGTCAGAAAATATCAAAAACACTTGGTAAATAACTTAATATTTTCTTTAAGTGATAATATAATGATTTCTAATTTATTTTTATGTACGATTTCTTCAAATATTAGGGGTGAAATCCAAGCGATTTCAACAAACAAAGCACGAAACGAAAATGCAAATCCTTTTTCAAGAGCAAAGGTTAGACATAAAGTCGATATGAAGGGTACATTGATTAAAACGCCAAGTAAATTCGAAGTAATTTACGGAGAAGTTTCTGGGGGACTTGCTAATTTTGGAATACCTGCATCCTGTCCAAAAAAACAGTATGTTGACAAGGTGAAGTTAATGATCATGTTGCGAGATAGTCTCAATCAGTTCTTCAAAGATAATCGTCATGTAAAGGATAAACAACGTAAAGAATTAACTGTGTACGGATGGTTACAAATCGGTAAGCGTAAATAGATATGAGTTTCATGCTTAAAGATTATATTAATATTTGATTGTTAGGAATCGAGTTAAAAATATACGCAATGGATTGGGTTGGCTCTGGAATTTATAGATTTGGTAAATTAGACAAATGCTTGTTACTAGTCGATAAAGATGACTCAACAATATTGGAAGATGCTTACTGTATTTTAAAATTACTGGAGGTAAATTATTATATTGCTTTTTTACTATTACTTGGTGGTTATATATTAACCATAGAATTAATGTAGTCAAAATTACTCGAATCGGAAAAAATAATTAAAAGAATAATACAAGATAATACGAAAAACAAAAGAAGACGTATCGAAACAGAAAACAGTCCTCATTTAAACAAGAACTGAACTCCAAAATAATTATGTAGTACTAAAGCAAATAGTTCCTACAATTATTAGTTTATAAATATAATATAAAATATATATGTGTGGGTTAATAAATGCTAACTCGTTTAATCTAACCGAAATATTGGTATTGCACTCATATTTTAAACTCTAGATTTTTATCATATGACCTTTTTTTTTCTGAATTCGAGGAGGCATCAGATAGCAAGACTCTACATTCCCGCCCATTTGTTAACTGAAAATGTATTTTCACAAATTGTGATAATTTATCAATGAAAAAATAGCTCAGATTTCCTCATCATACATAACTACAGATGAAACCATTTATGAAATTTTAACGCAGATGCTTGCCATCATTTTTAAGAGAATATGATAACTTTTTTTCTTTTGATTTAGCTAAAACGAATTAATAAAGTTTGCCCAACAATTCAGGGCTTATATTTTTATTTGCTTTATGAATGTGTATGAGTATGTGTAATGCATTTGGAATATGCAATAAATAATTTCGTAAAATATGCGATCACTTGACATACTGTATTACGTTACATGATTTTTTCTTCTGCACAGTTTTGACAGACTTTACGCAGAAAAATAATATATTTTTTTGCATGTGCATTTTATTCGTAATCATTTTCCCGAATTCCCGTTATGCTTATCCGGCTAAAGAAAAAATCTGAAATCTGATTGGCCGATCATCTCGTGATTTATAGAAACTCGCCAGCTCCTGGAACTTAGGAGATCACATGTGATACAAATTTTAACCAAAGGTGCTGTGCATAGTTTAGCCAAATCAAAAATTATAATATCTGTTTTCTACCCAAACAATCGAATAAAAATGAATTTGGATTTATTGGAGTATAATATTGCTTAAATTAGCTAAATCACTAAAAACACTATAAAATCAATAAAATCGTTGAATATGTCAGGAAATATTGTTAATAGATCTAGGCCTAATAAATTCATTGATATTATTTTAGACAAGGTTTATAATAAATCTATGCCTAAACCCATCAATCTTCATCCTGGATATGATATTGAATATATTAAAAACTGTTAAGGTTTTCCTTATCCTGGTTAATTCGAAAAGATGATTGAGGTCAAAAAATAGATATGATAATTTATCTATTATTAGTTCGTATGAAACTTCATAACAATAGGCTATTTGTGTAAAAGACACTTTGCAAACATTGATTACTGAAGGCTATAAAAGCTATTATCATGTATTCTGCCTTTCAGATCATCTGGGCAAGAAGTAATCAAGACATACTATAATAACTACGAAGGGAGAGAAGTTGCCATTGGTTATCACAGACCTAATATTCACAGTTGCAAAATGGCTTTGTTTCGATTATTGGAAATTAGTAGAAATCACTAATGAAAAACCAAAAAAGACATATTTCAGTAGATGGTAGAGATATGGGTATGAGATTAAGCCTGAAGACTTGATGAAATATCATTGGGATAACTCATGTTTCAAGATTAATAAACATATAGAAGTGGTCTTAAAGGAACTAACCAATCTTTTCACAAGCTCAAAGTCAGAAATATTGCATAAAAAATCTTCTAACTAGAGGGGGTATTATATTCTGAAAAAATACACCTGATTCCCTCCAACAGTTTGATAGAACAAGTGAAAGCAAAATATTTATTTCATCTATATACACAAAACAAAATAACTTAAATCATCTTAATCAGCTAAAAGGTATTACGTTAAAATTGAAAGATAGAACAAAAATCACGATTTTTTAACTAGTTTAACTAATATAATTTATTTTTTGTACTACATGATAGATGATCGCTTAGTGGAATTAACCAAAGGCGCTATGCATGATCTGCCTATTCTGGGTTAAATCTTCTAATTTATAACGAAGTATTATTCAGGAAGATCAATGAAGCAATCTTGGGGATTCTTGATTCCTAAATACTACTATAATTATGGCTTTAAAAATTTCTATACGACTAAAGATGGTCATCGCAATTAAAAAAAATGGCGCAATTGAGTTGCAACTTGTAACGCAATTAAATTTCCTTATGGTGCAATTAAGTTGCAACTCAATTAAAATTTGAAAATAATTATGGGAACTATCTTTATATATGATAGTTATCTAGCAAGCTTATAGGAATTACAAGAAGCCTGAATCTTTGGCAAAACAGGTTTGGAAAATGGTGAGAAATAATGGTACTTCTGACAATAAGAAGTTTTTAGATATTGTTTCTCGTGATAAAACATATCATTTCATTAATGAAAAACTAATAGAATCTAATTATGTGAGTAACCAATTTTATATAGAAAATAGACATAATATTTATTCTGCTACTACTTAGGCAGAAGCAAAGAGAAATCAGTTATATAGACGATTATATACTGTAGCATACCTAGCTATTTTTAGAGTATTATATCAGCAAGGCTATATAGTTGTTAGAGATACAGCTTGGTATAATATATTAAAATGGTTACAGAATCCCAAATTTTATCTTATTGGATATAATTTTGAGAACATCATTAGAATTTCAGATTGTGAGAGAATAAATTGGTAGAAATAGAAAGAATATGCAACTCATTATCGTTAAAATTCCTATACTATATTCATAGAAAGGATATTACCGTAAATTTCACAGACTTAGATGATAATTGTGAGTTTGTGCACTTAATTTTCCAGATAAACCTTGACCCAGATCTTGAATATTGTATTAATAAAATAATATATTATTCAGCTATACGAAATGCCTCAAGGCCAATGCATATAAGCGTGTATGACATAAATTAGCATGTTTTTTGATCTTCATTAAAGTATATATGATATAATGTTAAGGTCTTCAATGCATATTCTGCATGCTCTTATTCTTGAACACAAAATTTTAGCGTAAAATACCTTGTATATTCTCCTGTCTCTTTCCCAACATGATTGCAAGCCTAAATGGAGTTATTTAAAAAGGCAGTATAGTAAAATTATTATGCCTTTACATTATTTTTTTACTTCACTTAGCAGAGCTTTCACTAACATTTAACCTTCACTCTATTAAAATATGGAAGAATTCCTTTTAATGAGAAAGCCTCTTGATATTGTCAGAATCTCTACAGCATTATTTGTACAAGTAGAGAAAGGTGAATAGACAGGCAATCTTGAAAAGAAGGTGAAGAACTTTGAAAATGTTTTGAAATGAGTTTTAGAACAAGTCCCCTCAGAGAATATTGAGCGAATAAAGAACTGGGAAAAAATTAGCTAAACAGGTAAGATGATAAACTATTTTCATGATGTATATATGGATATGATGACATGCTTTTTTTTTAGGTTTCCTAATGTGGTATAATCACTAGCGAAAAGGCTGATGTACATTGTAATATTATTACTTCCTGTACAGCAGTAACTAGTTTTATACCATATATTAGCATATATAATAGCTACATGTCAAATATTTTGCCAGTATTGAAACTTTATGAAAATGGAAACCTAATCTGATACTGCGATGTAATATTAAATTATTTATCAAACGAGTCTTGAGAAACTAATATTAGATACATTTTTAGGTTGTAACAGCATTCAAAGATCTTTGTTCATTCTCAGAAATGGAAGCGTTAGTAATCAATACTGAAGCCTGGTATAAAGATGCAAATGCGAATTTATGATCTTTGAAGTATGATGTTAGATAATGTAAAAGTGTGAATGTTAGTTATGAGAAAACTATGTAGGAAAGAATAGAAACAGAACTTGAGAAAATAAATATAGAGAACCTTAGATTCGATTATCCAATTTGTTCAGGTATTCTAGATATTAAGTCAGAACCCTTTACAAATATGCCTGGATCAGTTTCTGATATTTTTAAGAAGCCATTTCAAAAATATATGTTAGAACAGAATCATGATATAATGGAAGCTTGTAAAGAATTTATTCAAAACAAAAAATCAAAAATTAACATAGACAAGATTTTGGATAATATTAATTATGAAGAATGATTGAATAAGCTCGAAGAATTGCAAGATCTAATAAAATGGATGTTAAAATTTATGTAAGTCACCGGCAAGCAATTCTTACCAAAATCTATTTATATAATTTTTTACTTTGCTCACTAACCAATAAATAATTATAGACTCAAAGTTTAGAAATTGCCAAAATATGATGCATATATAAAGAAGGAAAATTCGATAAATGAAGGATCATATATTTGTAAGGTACTTGTGCCATTATTAAATATAGTGATGAGCAATTTACCAGGAAATCAAATAGCATAGGACATATGGTATGCTTAGCTCAAAAAGTTTTATTATTCTACTATCATATCTGCTATAATTAATGTTTTTTAAATTAAGAAGTGAAGAAGAGAGTTCAGCTAGTGCCATATGAAAAGGTTCTCGTAAAATTACCTAAAGAGCCAATTATATAATGGTAGTCCAGTTCAGAAAAAATGCTGAATTTGAAATTGTTTATCTTAAGACTGGTAGACCTAATTCCAGTCAAGATAAGTGGGATTGTGATCACAAAAAATTAATACGTTTTTCTAAAGATTCTATCAACACTATGAAAAACATAAAAAACCTTAAAAAGATATTTAACCAACTATCAAAGAGGCAGAATCTAACCATATTCACTATTAATATCGCAGATACAAATAAATTATTTCTATTTTTATATATTTATAAATTGTTCATATTTTACTTTATCTACTTCTAGGTAATATTATGGAACTTTATGCTATGCAAAAAGAATCAAACATTTATAAGTACTGTTTAATAGAGGAGGCAACAATTCCATTACATATGACTTCACTAAGTACTATATATCAGCTTATCCATACTTTATTAATATTGAGAACAGCTGTAACCTGTACAATTCATAAAATATTATATAGTTCTAATTCTGAGAATAGTGAGTATAGTTCTAATGAAATGGTAGTAACAGTTTCGACCTCCAAAAATTCATAGAATAGAGATTTAATACATGTATTTTTAATAAGTTATATTATTAATAAAGCAAGTGTATCAGTTAATAAAAATTTTTTTGACA